GCGTCGCAACAAAAACTGGTTGATTTTCCACCACACCAAATTGGGCCAGCTTTGCAAATGTTCATCAATAAATGTTTGCAAAACTTACTTGATGTTTTGAGGCAAGACTCCACAAGGCGAAGCTGATCCAAAGGGCTGACACCCCCTTGCTGAGAATCGGGTTTCAAGACAGCTTTGCAAGCGGTTTGGGATGCCTGCGGGCATGACGGGGCCTCAAGTGTCTTCTTGGACGTTGGTGGCCTGTTGCAGGCAGAAGGAACTGCTACCGGAACCCCTTGTTCACTGTCAAGTTTGGCTGGCTCAAAGGTGCCGGCCTTGTCAAAGTCCGTATCCAATGACTTGGCAACAGCGCTTTCTTGTTGACACTCGGCCGGAGGTAGAGCCTACAACGATTTGCTAAGTTCGAAAAGGCATCTATGATGTCAAGATGGACCAACTGTATCATGGGTGTGCCCTTTTGGGTTTTCCTTTGAGCGCCCTGAACAACCAACACGGCCAGCAAATGAAACGCACTGATGTGACCAGCTGGCCTGCTCAGTCAAAATGGCCTCCTTGGACTTCTCGTAGTGCTCGAAGCTCACTGCAGAGTTTGGGTTTAACCTGAGCAGTCAAACCGAAAGTAAATACTGCGAGCGACTCCATCTTTTTCAAAGCAAAGATTGCGAAAAGTACGTTCGCAACTTACACCATGTAGTGTTGCCAGGTGTAGGTGTTTGTGACTACAACGGACAGCTTAGGCAAGAGCCCAAGCACCGCCATAGTCTTCTCAAAGATGTCGTCCTCGTTCCTTTGCTACGTTGGATTCAGTTGAAAAGGGGCTGACAAGCGGCCCTGTTTGCTTTTCCATGAACGGCGTGTCTCATGGGTCAGGATCGCGTCCAATATGTGAGCTGCCAAAACTTCTTGGCCAAATCCAACACTGAGAAACATCGTACACTGACAGCTTTTGAAAACGATTCATCTTTTTTGGGCCAAGTCAATCGCGTGAGAGATTGCTAGAAGTCTTGGCGAATTTGAACCGGTGCAAATTCACAAGCTGGCGCCTCCAGACCTCCAGATGGTCCAAGAGAAAGGGCGCAGGCCAACCAGCCTTGTGCGCAGTCACTTGGGGGGAGCTCTATGGGCAGGAACTCACACCCACAAACCACCCGTTTAAAAACAAGAAGGGGTGCCTAAAAAGGCCAAGGAGGTGGAAGACACGGGGTCAACTTTGGGGTGTGCGGGCAACATACATTTTCACAATGCTGCAACGCAACCAACCAGGGGTCGCAAGCCACACGAGTTTACCGAGTAAGGACAAGCGCCATCAGTTCAAAGTGGAACCTTGTTACAGAGCTAGTTTTTGGGCGTTAGCACCTCGCAGGGTTTCAAATCTCGGAGTCTAAAAAGTTTTCAATCCGCTTTTAAACCACCCAGCCTGGACAAAGGAGCTTCGCTAACCAAGGAGCATGGCAATGACACTGTCTGCACTTGCGTCCAAAATGATGCACACATTTTGGCTCAAGGGTCTTCCGGGGCAATTGCCCAAAGGGCGCGCAAACATTTTGGCCCAAGGGTCGTGCAAAGAGATGGCACAAACGGGCGCACAAACAATTTGGTTCAACACTGCTGTCCGCTTGATCCATGAATGGCAGGGCCGAGCGCAGAACGGCGCAATCCTGTGACCCCCAACACATGGCCAGGTCAAAGCCTGATAGTCCAAGGGAGATGCGTCAAGGAACCGCAAGGTTGCAAAATTGGGAGCCCGCCAAATCGGCGCCCTTACACCAAACTGCGCATGCCTTTCCACGGCTCTGTCTCCTTTAGAAAATGTACACAACCCCTATCTCCATAGTAGAAAATTCTTTACAGCAAAAAAGCTAAACACACACTTTTCAGGCGCTGAACGGTTACAGGGGTCCTAGCAACACACGAGAAAGTCTCAAGCCGAAGGCAACTACTTGCATCGTCAATCTCGCGTCTGAGATTGACATCACAGCACATGTCTTCGTTGGTGCCAGCCTGCTCTGCCCCTGGCACCCCCCGCAGAAAGTTAGAAGCGACTCCCTTTCTCCAGGCGCAAGGAGGGTTCACACACACGACGCGATGCACAAAACAACTGCGCGCGCAGCGCATTGCAAGCTTGTGCGTTAAACGCAGACGGCAGAACACCTGTTCGCCAAGTATCAACTTGTTTAGCACGCGTGGAGGAAGTTAAAGGCCCGTGAAAACAGCAGAATTCACGAGTCAACTTGGCTTCGTGAGCTTAGGCAGCCGCAGCCTCCTTAGCTTATCCAGCCCAAGTAACTTGAGCCTCGGGGCCTCCTGGCAGTACATTACATTACATTACATTACATTACATTACATTACATTACATTACATTACATTACATTACATTACATTACATTATTACATTACATTACATTACATTACATTACATTACATTACATTACATTACATACATACATACATACATACATACATACATACATACATTACATACATACATACATACATACAT